TTCCTCCATGGCAGAAGAAGAGGGTTGGACTGGATGGCCCTTGGGGAAGGAGAGGGCCTAGAAATGAAATTAATTAATTAATAAAAATTAAAAATTAAGGTCTCACACTGCTCCTTTTCTTTTTTTTTCCCCCTACATCCCCCAGGACTGTCCTTTTATCGTCTGCATGACCTACGCCTTCCACACGCCGGACAAACTATGCTTCATTTTGGACCTGATGAATGGTAAGGAGGATCAAGGAAGAGGACCCAGAGCCATCGGGACCCTGGGCTCTAGGTCCTCCAGCGCAACTCTATGGTCAACATCCGCCAGACGTTGGCCATAGAATTGTGTTGAGTAACCTATGAATGCCTAGAGAACTAGGTCTTCCAGTGCAACTCTATGGTCAACATCTGCCAGACGTTGGCCATAGAATTGTGTTGGTGAAGCTACGAATGCCTAGAGAAGCGATCTCTCTAGGAATCTCTATGTCCTTTAACGCAACTCTATGGTCAACATCCGACAGACGTTGGCCATAGAATTGTGTTGGAGAAGCTACGAATGCCTAGAGAAGCGATCTCTCTAGGAATCTCTAAGTCCTCCAGTGCAACTCTATGGTCAACATCCGACAGACGCTGGCCGTAGAATTGCATTGGATAACCTATGAATGCCTAGAGAAGCGATCTTTCTAGGAATCTCTAGGACTTCCAGTGCAACTCTATGGTCAACTTCCGCCAGACGTTGGTCATAGAATTATGTTGGATAATGTACAAATGCCTAGAGAAGTGATCTCTCTAGGAATCTCTAGACCTTACAGTGCAACTCTATGGTCAACATCCGCCAGACGTTGGCCATAGAATTGCCTTGGATAACCTACGAATGCCTAGAGAAGCGATCTCTCTAGGAATCTCTAGGTCCTCCAGCATGTCCTCTGCTGGAAGTTGACCATAGAGTTCTTCATATAGGATTAGCACAGAGTAACACAAATCCAAACACTTGGGTTGGTGGACTGGTTTATCGTCTTGGTTGCCATTGCCTTCCCCTGAGGCTGAGAGAGTGTGACGTGCCCAGGTTCTCCCAGTGGGTTTCATGGAATTGACCCCTGGTCTCCAGAGTCGTAATCCAACACTCAAGCCATGATGGCCTATAGGGATTATCGATTATTCTCGTTTTGGACGAGGACCCCGGAGACCAGGGTTCGAATCCTTGATTGGTAAGTCACACTCTCTCAGCCTCATAGGTAGCAAATCTTGCCAAGAAAACCAATCTGCGATAGGGTCAACAACATGCAGTCCCGTATTTTTCCTTCTTCCTAGGCGGGGATCTTCACTACCACCTGTCGCAACACGGCGTGTTTTCGGAGATGGAGATGCGTTTTTACGCCACGGAGATCATCCTCGGTCTGGAGCACATGCACAGTCGCTTCGTCGTCTACAGAGACTTGAAGGTAAATTACGCCCCGCCGAATATTCTTTTTTCCGAGAGGAAAGAAAACGGCGCAGGAATTGGTCAACTCATTTTTCAGAAGAGACATTCTCGATTCTCGATCCCAGAGGCAATGGGGATCACTCTCGATTCTCGATTC